TCCTGTATTATTCAAAAGGGAAAATACTTGAGTTTAACTTACTACTGATGGGCTGTCTGGAGGAGGAAAAAAAAAAGAAAAAAAAGAAAGAGAGTAAAGACATATCGAAACATACCACCTAACAATGAAAGACCAGCTTGTTAACGCTACAGCCGAATTAGTTCAAAAGACCTTTAAATAGGCATTCATTATGAGAGTAGAAATACATATTGTATATGTATTGTAGTATTTGTACATACTTATTTCTCTAAAACAGTGCACCAATTGACAGCATTCTCAATAGTCTGAACAGATCACAAAACAATATCTTGACTATTTCACACCACAACTACACTCACCAAGAATTGACCTGACTGTTGCTGGATTAAATGGAGTCCATGTGCCTGAAACAAGAAAAAATCACTTAGTTCCTCAATCCTAAGTAACATTTAAAAAAATGCAACCAACCAACAAACCAACCAAAACAATCAGGTAAGAACTTAAACAGTGAACTCAGAGCTAGATGACATGGAGCTAGCATATTATAAAATAAGGCTGCTTTGAAGTAATTATGTTCTTGACCATTCAGAGATGACTTCAGACCAACGCTTTACAGATACTACACAGAAACCTATATTTTCCAGGCTGCACCAAAAAAAACCCCAAAACCTTGGAAGGACTAAGAAGGATTCTTTTCATCCCAGGTAGTCAAGAGGTATGGGATAAAAGGCAAGATCAAAACTGAAGTCCCACTATTTCTGCTGATGGGAGGAGAAGAGTTTTAACTGAAACAAGGTCTCCTATCCATTCCTCACTAAAAACCCAGCTGCTTATTTTCCTATTTTACAGGTGGGTTACTCCACAGCATTTAGTTTCTGACAAGTGAAAAGGTTCCTAACATGGCATAACCACACAGTGCAATTTAGAGTTGAGTTTGGTATAAATCCCACCTTCACTGCTAAATCAATGAAGTGTTAGTTTAAATTAGTATTTTTCAGACCAAGAAATGTTGCTGCTTGAAAGGGCCTGAGCTGTGATCACCTGAAGAGGAGCTTTGTACTTCTCTGAATACTTTGACAGGCTAGTCACTCTGGATTAGTTTTCACTCTGTTGGAAGCATTCCAGAGTGCTAGGAAACATTAAGTTTTAAATTAAGAGAAATACCGTGCCTCATCTAGAATTTCACCATCAATTCTCTAAAGCCTGTGAAGGTACCAAGAGGACCAAGAAGCAGGTATTAAATTCACTGAGGTTGAGTGCAGGGACCAGGAAGGAACCAGTAAGACTAGGGGTACTGCAGAGGCATTTGCAACGCTGCAGTTAGCCGACCACAAATACCTAATAGAACGGCTGTGTTGGTATTAAGCAGGCTTTGTGAAGGCACAGCTGCTTTGCTGGATCAAGCTGCAGTGGTGTAAGTAGCACTTAAACCAGCACCAAATTTCTCCCATCGAAGGGAAACTCTGTCAGTGTAAGTCTACAGATGCAGCAACGGGGAAAAACCCTATACTGTAGGCAGGCCACATGACTATCTGCAGATAAAGGAAACAGCAGCAGGGAAGAGTAAAAATCGCTCTGAAAATGCTTAAGCAGTATTTTAGACAGAGAACATCAATACCTTAGAGTTGTATGTCTCCTGACAAAAATAAAAAATAATGGAATTATTAGTAGGGTGCCAGCATTTAACTCAACAAAATAGAGGAAAAAGGGAAAACACGGTTTGGAATTTAACTTATTTCATGTCGAAATTTTCGAGAGACTCATAGAGACACTATATAGCGAAACCAGAGCAACTCGAGTGCTCAAAAACTCTACTGATTTCAGCCTATTGCAATAAACAGTAAAAGACTGTTCCCCTCCCCTGACTTTACTATTAACTTTACATGGCAGCACAGAAAAAAAAAAGAAAAAACAAGAAGGAAGCATAGGATTTTATTGTGCAAACAACTATATTAAGTGATGATCAGTCCCTCCCAGGTAAGTAGACTGTTACTTGGCACACACTTGACATGTGGAAAAGCTGAATGTCAAAACCACATTGAACTTCAAATTTTAATGACCACTATGCAGACTTTTTTAATGTTTTAGAAATAAACACATAACATTCTTTTAGCCCATGTTAGATTGCAGGACAGCTACGCACAACCATCCACTAGAGGATATATTTTGAAAAGAATATAGTGAATTGTTAGTGACTTTGGTGTACAAGATCTAGAATCTCTCGGAATGAAGGAAGCTTATAGTTCTGTAAATATTTTGTCTAATAGTCAATTCACTTGGTGGCATTGTACAGAGGCCTCATGTTTAGCCTGTAGTCAAATCATAACTTACAAATATTTAGCCGCTGCCTCCTAAAGGTCTCATCCCCTCCAAATACAACCTCTGTTCCTTGTTCCCAGCTCTATGACTCCATGACTGCTCAGAAAAAGTCTGCATAACTGTAAAGCACTGAAACTGCTAATCTACACTGTAAACAAGGAAAGAAAAGAGTTCAGATAGTCATCACTACCTACTACCCTTAAATTCAGTCAGATGAGAAGATACTTAAAATATATGACGTCTAAAAAGACAGCTAAAGCCAGGTTCCCTCATCATTATAAACAGCACTGTAACCTTAAATGAAACAGCGACTTAATCAATTTAACTTTGCTTTTGCTGAAGTTGTTATTCAAAATAGTATTTTAGTTATGGATCAGGTGCAGCAGCTCCAACATATTACTTCTAATTTATCAGATATATTATTAAACAAATATTCTAGTAAATCCAGTTTAGTTACAAGACCACAGTTTTACTAAATAGAGCCATCCAAATTTATTTCAAGTCAGGTGATTACTGACAAAAAGGGGCCTTTCCATCTGCGTGCACTGCAGCTCACAACATCAGTTTAAGCCCTTCTCAGTCCCAAAGCACAGGAAAGAGGAAGGAATTAAGTCTTGGGAGAAGGGTAACTCCATACGGACTCAAAGGTGCACAAACAGCTTCAATATGCACTTTTTCAGATTCCTAAGTGGAAAAAAAAGCCCACAAAGTACAACCCTCCCCATCCTAAGTCACCAGAGGAAAGTAAAAATAGGCCACTGGAAAATTTTTTTTGTTTTTATTTTGCTTCCATGAGTTATTTGACCATACCCTAGTTAGTCTTTAAGCATTATGACAGGGAACTGACAGACTACTAGGAAGTTTTAATACTAGATCTCGAGTGCATCTTTCTACTTTGTTAGGGAAAAAAACAAACATGCCTCATTTGGAAAAAAAAAAAATTAAAATTACCATCTTCAATCCTGCACCATACTGTATGAAAAGATTTTATGTGCAGTAAATAGGCAGGTTGTAAACATCTGATCTCTGTCCAGGTTATACACAGATCCTAGTTAAAAAACAAAGGTTCAGTAGTGATGAGAGAAGAATATATAAATCATCATTTATGTTTTCTAGGAAGCAGAGCTGGAAAAAATAAAGGGATGTGCACGCCTTCATTCCCCAGAATACAAATCAGTAATGTTTACAATAGGTATTCAGTTTATAATGCATTATTACTAACATGCACCAAACCCAGAAAACTTCCCTTGAAATCCAAAAAAAAAACCAAACCAGGAACAATGGGCTCGGGGCAGGGGGATCAATAAAATCAGGAGGACTGTCCACTTTTTTCCTCCCCTTCAGCCTTTTGCTGTAGATTAAATAGTATTAATCGGTGGTAGGAACATTTTCCCCTCCTCAATCAAAGAATTATGGCATCAAGTAACCAGTCTCACATGAAATTTATCATCAAGTTTACACTGAACTACCTCACTGCTCATTTACAGACTTACCATTGGATAGTGCCTGCTGAAGTTCATTATCAGATATTATTCCACTCCTATCTTTATCAACCCTGGGGGGAAAAAAAAAAAAAAGCAGTAAGCTTTAAATGGCTGAAATTAACAGGTTCCACTTACAGAAGACTTCAACATTCTGGGTCTTACTTGCCAGATAAAATGAATCTTTTCCTGAAAAGTCACTAACTGCATTTTACTTGGTAAACCATTCACAGTTACTGCAAATTAAACGCTTCATTCAGACTGATGAGACATTCTGGAACATGATAAATGCTACAAAGAAAACTGCAAGACTTAGGAGCGAAGAGACACGCAAAAACACACATGGGCAATACAACAGTTTGGGCATACTCCACACAAGAAAGTATTTTTATTTATTTATTTTTAAAAGAACTGCAGAGCACACCATGCTGGTTAAGTCCACAAAATGCCTAATGTCACAGTAGTAAGCTGTTTGGCTGCCAAATTGGAGCCCCAAGTTTGGCCCCCAGTGCCACTCAGAAAGGTATTGGGAATGTAGAGAAAGCCACTGATGTAGCCAGTGCCAAGTACTGAATGAATCGACTGCAGGGCCCCTGACCCTTTTCAAAGGGGTTCAAAAAGTGAAAAAGCACAGGCAGGTGCCAGCTTCCATTGAGCCTTCACAGTCTATTGTCTTAGAGAATGGAGTTCTACCCCAAAATTAATAAACTAAGTAATTTCTGCCCAAATAAAGCAGAATTGTGCCTTCTTTAGAAGGATATCTGAAAGTGGTGGGGACTTCCCTCCATTTTATACAAGGACCTTCCCCTTGACACTGACAGTTCTTATTTCCCCTCAGTTACTACCATTCCAAAGCAGAGTCCCTTTTTTCCTTGTTTTTTTTTCTAAACCTTTTCAGTTCATTCTAGTAGATTCCTCCCCTTCTCAAAAATTACATAACCTCATAAAACATTCAAACTGCATGCATAACTTGCACAGATTATAGTAACAAAAAGATACTCCCCTTCTTTATTCTCTATTTTCTCTTTTCTAGGTATTTGGAACATTTTTTACCTTTTATGAGCTGCTGCTAAGTGCTAAGCTGGTATTTTCATAAATATGTGTTATGACTGACTTATCTTGCTCCTGAGCATCATCAGACAGCTTAGGGCATGTTCATTTTATATACAAAATGATGCAAAGTTAATGTCAGTCTTCCTCACGGACATCAGGTATCTACTCTGGATTTCATCTGACCACATCTACCCGTTTTTTGAATGCTTCCAGGGATGGTGACTCCACCACCTCTCTGGACAGCCTGTTCCAATGCTTAACTACCCTTTCTGTGAAGAAATTTTTCCTAATATCCAATCTAAACCTCCCCTGGAGCAGCTTGAGCCCATTTCCTCTTGTCCTATGGCTCGTTACTTGGGAGAAGAGACCAACACCCACCTCACTACAACCTCCTTTCAGGTAGTTGTAGAGAGCGATAAGGTCTCCCCTGAGCTGTCTCTTTTCCAGGCTAAATAATCCGAGTTCCCTCAGCTGCTCCTCATGAGGTCTGTGCTCCAGACCCTTCACCAGCCTTGTTGCCCTTCTCTGGACACGCTCCAGCACCTCAATGTCTTTCTTGTATTGAGGGGCCCAAAACTGAACACAGTATTCCAGGTGCGGCCTCACCAGCACCGAGTACAGGGGGACAATCACCTCCCTGCTCCTGCTGGCCACACTATTCCTGATACAAGCCAGGATACTGGTGGCCTTCTTGGCCACCTGGGCACACTGCTGGCCCATGTTCAGCCAGCTGTCAACCAACACCCCCAGGTCCTTTTCCGCCAGGCAGCTTTCCAGCCACTCTTCCCCAAGCCTGTAGCATCGCATGGGGTTGTTGTGAGCGGTCCAGGGCCCAGCACTTGGCCTTGTTAAACCTCATCCAGTTGGCCTCGGCCCATCGGTCCAGCCTGTCCAGGTCCCTCTGCAGGGCCTTCCTACCCTCGAGCAGATCAACACTCCATTTATCCAGCAAACGACGCTCCCTTTCATTCTACATATATTAGATTTCTTTAAAGGCCTTTGAGACTTTTGTAGGTTGAGAGTCTCTTTGGAAACTATACAGATTATACTAGTTGCACCAGTTCTAGCCATCATATCCATACTCAATCCTTATCAAACATATTCTAAGACTTACACAGTAGTCTGCCAGAGAGGAATACTTTCAATAAAAGCTGTGCAACTCTCCTCACTAGCTACTTTATTTAAAATGGTTTCTACTGGTTTGCCTGGTGTGGAAGTCAGACTGTCGATCCTCTTCTTTCTGGACCCTTTAAAAAAAGAAATGGCATCACGCATTCCTTCTCCAAGTTCTCAGATGAAGTGGTTTTACAGAAGGCAAAGTAGGTAAGCTGCCACATTCCTGAGTCACTTGTGAGTTACCAAGTAAATACTAGCCAGTTTAGCAACTTACTAGTGTTTGTCTGCTCCTTAACCTCTTCTTGCTGTCACTTGAGTCAAGATAGATCTTCTGACATATCTCCCACAAAAATGGACGCAACATAGGAACCTCCCCAGTTTCCTCAACACGACACAGATGTGAAGAACTCCTTTAGCGTCATCACTACTACGGTCTCAATGACATGTTTTTTTTTTAACACGGGCCTGCTAACTCCCTTGCAGGTTCCTGGTCCAGATGCACTCAAGCGAGTATTTGCTGTTAGTTTTTCAGTTTTCCATTAAGCGTTTATCAGACTGTTTTTACAAGCCTTCCTGTACTGCTACCTTGACCCTCCAGACTTCATAATCCTTTCTGGATTCTCAGGTCAAAAATGACTTCAGCGTTTTCCAGGTTACCTTTTCGCTTCCACCAATCCCCCTTCCCTTGCTCTAAAACGCAGCCATACTTACTCCTCCTCAAGCCTTTCTTAAAGCTCCCCCTCAGATTCCTCCTACAGGGGTAGAACCGCGATGCCCACCCGCCCTGC